ATATATATATATATATATATATATATATGGTTGTTTGCCTTATGGCTCTCCGAGCTTTACAAGGAACATGGTTGTAACTTCTGCATTTGGTGAGGGCTTCAGGGAGCTTGAGGAAGCATGTCACATGCAAGAGAGGGAGCACAAGGAGGAGGTGGTACTAGGCTCTGTTAAACAACCAGTTCTCACATAAGCTAGCAATCATGGGGAAGACACCATGCTGTTCATGAGGGGTCTAGTCTCTGACCCAAACACCTCCCTTAGGCCCACACTCAACACCGGGAATCAGATTTCAACATGAGGTGTGAAGGGACCCAATATCTAAACTATATCCCTACGTAAGGAAAAAACTATATTTTTAGAGAAAGAATCAAAAGAAGTACAATAAAATTTTTCTTTTTTAAAATTCTTACTTGATCTAAAGATAGCTTTTTATTTAAAGAAACAAATGTATGTACTATAGAATATGAGTAAGTAAAATAGATGACAGACATTTCACCAGTGATAAGACCAAGAAATTGGGAAAAAATTGTTATATGGTACCTGCATTACACATGAAGTGTAATACTGGGATTTAAAAGTGGGCTAGGAACAGAGGCAAGATGGCTGACTGGAGCCAGCTTTCCACAGAAGCTCCTATCCAGAAGGAGAGTTAAAGGACAGAAGTTTAGCAAGTAAGCTGATGGTTCAGAGCTGAGCCAAGAGAGAAGGTTGAAGAATGCCCACCAACCCTGCTGAGGCAAGCTTCAACCCCAAGGGAAAAAAAAATGGGTACAAAATCCATTGCCAAGTGGACAGGAGTCCCCTCTCCCATGAGAATAGCTCACAGTATACTCTATACAAACAAGTGAGCAGAGTTCAGATCCCCTCCTATTTTATCCCATGAAAGATAAGATATATAAAACTGTATATATTCTCTACCTGCAATTCTGAACTCCCAGCACTCCCCTCCACTCTCACCCTGAGGTCTGGAAGCCTGTCCCCCATGGAGTCCAGATTTGGGGGCATTTTCTCAAAAGGTGTGGACACAAGATGTGGGCTCTTGCTGGTCTGTGCTGATTCTGTGGCATGGGAGTAAAGAGAAGATGGTGAACTCAGGGAACCATATGGGAGAGGCAGAGGCAGTGCCCCGCTGCACAGAGCAGCAGCAGCCGCTGCAAAACAATAGGGCTTGCACCCCTAGAAATATTTTGGAGAGATATTCTCTGCCTCTCTGGGCAACCAGAGGAAGCTGGGCATCTTCTCCAGTGGCAGCCACTGGCCGAACAGATCTGGGACAGAAATACAGGCCCCATGAGTAAAGGGTATGCCTGAGGTGGTACTTGCCTGGGTGGCACACTGCCCCGCGGTGCAGCAGGGTGGAGACTAGAATACACATGTGCAGGAACAGCATACTCCCTGGGCTGCACTGAGCCAAAAAGACTGCTATAGTGAGCCTAAGAAGCATCTGTACCTCAGCGTATCATAGCTAAAACAAAGGCAGGTGGTCAGAGGCTGAAACTGAGAGCTGAGTGTGAGCTCTAACCACACCCGCTCCAACACAGACTGCAGCCAAGACAGACATGCCAGCTCCAGGCAGTGGCAGGGGATGGGACTGGAACTGAGTGAACTGCCCCAGCCTCCATTAAGCACCCGAAGTTGTCAGGGATCAGCTCACTCTGCTAGATAGTGGCAAAGAACAGTGGCCTGGCTAAGAAGACATAGATCTTCCTGTGACTCAGGCAGGTGCAAACCCCTGGTGCAACTGCTCTTTGGAGGGAACTAGGTCACAGCCCTGCAGGGTTATCAGTGACTGGGTGTGACAGAAGTGTAAGGTGGGGATGGAGGCATTAACTTTCTCAGACTAATTCATTTGCTGGGTGGGTCCTTCTGAACTCATGGAGCACTGGTGCAAGTCATACTTGAGCTGCCAGCAGAGAAATGCTATCTATTTGCTAGAGACCTTTTGAACTCTTCCACCTGAGACCAGTGCTGATTGGGACAATTGATTTGGACTTCTTGAACTGGGCCAATCACCCAAGGACTATCCAAAGTGGTATCCTGGGTGAGTGGTTGTGGGAAGATTTGATTTTCCTTTTCTAGTTGTTGCCCATGGGGGTGGGGTGACTTAATTGTTGGTATTTCTCCAAAGCTGAGACTTCAACCCAGAGTAAGTGATTCACTAGGGTAGGACAGAAACCAGTTGAAATAAGACAAAGCCACTTAGCCCAACCAAACCAATCAGGTCCCCAGTGTCTCAGGCTATAGCACTGTATAGGTCCTTTGCAAAACTCTAGGGGAAAAGGTACAGACACCAGTCCCAGCTCTTGGGGAAAGGGCTCATTAATCACTACTCCAGGGGCCCCCAACCCAACTTCACCTTATCTGCTTATCTAGCCAAACGTTGTAAAATAATCATGGAACAGAATCAGCAGAAAAACACTGGTAACATGAATAACCAGAGTAGATCAACTACCCCAAGGAATGACATGGTGGACACAACTGAAGATCCCATTCATAAACAAATGGCTGAGATGTCAGAAATTGAATTCAGAATTTGGATTGCAAATAAGATTAATAGAATGAAGGTAAAGTTGGAATTAATAATTCAAGAAGAATTTCAAAAATTGTCTCAAGAATTCAATTAATTAAAAGACAAACCACCAAAGATTTTGACACATTGAGATAAGAATTTTCAGCCCTCACAGATCTGAGAAATACAGTAGAATCTCTCAGTAACAGAATGGAGGAGGCAGAAGAAAAGATTTCTGATATGGAAGACAAAGGTTTTGAGAGCTCCCAAGCAATCAAAGAAGAAGAGAAATGGAGAGCAAAAACAGATCATTCTCTCAGAGAGCTCTGGGATAATTTGAAGAAAACTAATATTCACCTTATAGGAATCCCTGGAGGTGAAGAAGTTGCTTCACAAAGTACAAAGGCTCTTCTTCATGAAATTATGAAAGAGAACTTCCCAGACATGCCAACAGATTCTGAAATTCAGATAGAGACAGTTTCAGAACCCCAGGACAACTCAACCTGAATAAGACATCCCCCAAGCACATCATAATTAACGTCACTAAAGTTAATACGAAGGAGAAAATTCTGAAAGCAGACAGATGTAAGAAAACCATAACCTACAAAAGGAAGAATATTAGAATGACTGCAGATCTCTCTGCTAAAACCTTTCAAGCTAGAAGAGGGTGGTCATTGACTTTTTTTTTTTTTTTTTTTGAGACAGAGCCTCAAGCTATCCCCCCGGGTAGAGTGCCATGGCATCATGCTCACAGCAACCTCCAACTCCTGGGCTCAAGCGAGTCTCCTGCCTCAGCCTCCCAAGTAGCTGGGACTACAGGCGCCCACCACAACACCTCGCCATTTTTTGGTTGCAGCCGTCATTGTTGTTTGGCGGGCCCGGGC